CCTCAGCGAGATGTTGTAGAAACAGAAAACACACTTTTCTCTCTAATTGGATGAACACAGTCATCACAAAGTGAATTGTTTCTGACGTTTAACGGGTCGGTCCGGTGGGTTCGGACCAGCTGGTGCGTGTCCAGTAGCAGATATCCGTCTCAGCATTGAGCCGTTTTAGCAAAACCACCGCCTGCTCGTTCACTTCGTACTCGAGCTGCAGCTACAGATTATTTTCCTCATTAATCGATTCGTCATTCGATGTTAAAATGTCAGAAAACGGGTCGATCTGTTCCCCAGAGGTCACGATGATAACTGCAAAGAAAGCTCGGGCTACTCGTGTTTTTGTTCCTGATTACTCTGTCAGTTATTTTCTCGATGAATCGATTCGTTTGGTCTCTGAAATGTTTATGAAAGCATCTTGTTTTGTGAAGACAGGAGGACAGAAACCAGAAAGTATTCACATTTCAGACGCTGCAATCAGAGAATCACTCAGATGAAGTCATTTATGATCAAAGTAATTAGTGATTAATTTAATGGACTGATCGTTGCAGCTTAACTTCTCAGTTAAAACCCTGATACGTGACGCTGGTGTCTGTTTGCAGGACGACGCTGAAGGCCTCTACTGCCAGGAGCAGATCAACAGGTCGGCCCGACTCACGTCAACATCAGTCTGATTTAAAGCCTAGCTGCTAACGGCTAACTGCTCTGTGCTGAACTGGGTTCCAGGTCGATCTACTGGGCTGACGGCTACGTGCTGGTCTTCTCCATCACCGACCACAACAGCTACCGGACCATCCAGCCGCTGTACCAACACGTCAGACGCATCCACCCGTCCGGAAACATCCCCGTCATCCTGGTGAGCCAGCGGCACATCGTATGCTGTGATTTAAGACAATCGTCTCCTTTTAAATGATTTATTTACTGTGTGTGACAGAGCAGCTGCCCGCCAGCCCTAATCCTCTCATCTAATTATACACATATAATCTGTAATCTGCTGCAGGTTGGCAACAAGAGCGACCTGCTGCGAGCCCGACAAGTGCCGGCAGACGAAGGAGAGACGTTGGCAGCGTCGCTAGGTGGGAGTCCGATAATGGTTCAGTACCACACGTTACAAAAACAGGATCCCATATCTGACACCTTTGACTCTGAGCGCACCAACACAGACAGTCCTAGTAGAACCAATCAGCGTCAGGTACCGTACCAGGAGCAGGTGCTGTGTTCTCGACCCTAAACGGGGTTCTGCAGGGACAGGTCTCGCAGCCAGAACCTGCACAAGCTGCCCCGAAGCAGCCTGCAGTGGAAAACAGCTCGTCATCGGCAAGACGCTGCCAGAGCTGGATCAGAACCGAGACGTAAGCAAACAATGACATGTTCAGAAAAGCCCGAAAAAGAAAGAAAAGGCAGCTGTGAGCTCGTCTGGTTTGCGTTCGAGCAGAGTTTGTGTTCGGTCTTTGAGTTTTTCCTCTTTGTTCGAGGTTTGTGTTGGTCAGCGTCACCGACACGAACCAGTCGGAGACGTCACAGCAGAGAAACGTCGAAACGTCAGCTGTGGAGAAACTTTTAAAGCTTAAATTTATCAGATCAGATTTATTCTATAAATGCAGTTTCATGGTTGTTTCTTCTTTTATTTCGACAGATGTTCGCCTCAAACAGCTGCTCTCTGACTGATCTGAAACCAGAACCGAGTCATGAACCACTGAATCTTCTTAAACTGAAGCTTTATGGACTTTCAGACCTGCTGGTTCTGCAGAACCTGCTGCCGTTTACAAACTCCATAATCTGTAGTTTTGTGCTAAATGTCGCAGAAACTGTCTGGCATTGGATCCAAACTTTCAAACGTCTCAGACTGACGGACTGGTCCAGATGTTGAGCCACCAGCTGCTCTGACCAACAGGCTGGAAAACGTCTGGGTGTCGTGATCAGAAGTCATTGGAGTAAATTTGTAAATGCGTTTGATGGACTTTAAATTATCAGCATGTAAAGACAGAAAATCAAACCGTCACTGTTTCCTTCGCTCAGACAGGAAGTCTTTTGAAGTCTAATGAACTTTTATTTCATCATGAGCTGCATTTAATCAGCAAAAACCTTAAATCCTCACTTACAGAATCTAAAGCCATGAGCTCAGTCGTTCACGTGACTCATTGAGTTCAGTCATTTAGACGCGTTTGTGGCTTTTTGTTGGTTTGAATTTATTTGAAATCTACAAACTATAACGAAGCCACTTCTTACAGTTGACGTCACAGAGATCAATAAAGTTGTGTTGAATTCAAACAGCCAACGCAGTAAACTGATACGAGGTGATTTAACTTGTGAAAAAGATCAGAACCCGGGTAAACCCAAAGCTTTAGAGAGGTCCGTTAAATCCCCTCAGTGTCCCTGTTTGTGTGCTGAAACCATGTCGCTGCCTGATGAAGGAGGAATGCTGTGTGGAGATAAGACTGACCTGAACTCTGCTCTCAGGAGGCGTTTACTTCGAGGCCTCGGCCAGAGAGAACCACGAGGGAGTCCACGGCGCCTTTCTGCATCTCTGCCAGGAGGTGGGACCCTGTTCTGTTTCTCATTCGTTAACTGTTTGACTGATAAGAGCTCAGACGGGTCCAGAGCGTTCTGCCGGTTTCTGTGGGAACTCGGACTGCAGGACGTTTCCCACTGATGCCCAGAAACACAGAAATACCACATGTTTGTGTTTTTGGGTCCTGAAACAGCCCACAGTGTTCTCATCTGGATGTTTGTTGTTCTGGCCCGGCGGCTTGGTGCCTCCAGTTTGGACTTTCTGTGTCCTGTTGATCCCCAGACCTCAGCTTTTGTTTGATCCCTGAGTGCTTCAGCTGGATCGATGCTTTTTATATGAACAGCCGGTTGGAAGGCGCTGCTGGTCTGAGCAGCTTTCAGCTCCTTGGTTTGGTTTCCAGACTAAAACTTTTAAAGCTTTCATTAACTGCAGCTTTAAGACGAGACGTCCTCCACCGAGCAAAACGCTCCACCTTGTGATTTTAAAGAACACCATCGGGATTTATCTTCTTATCTTATCTTATCTTATCTTATCTTATCTTATCTTATCTTATCTTATCTTATCTTATCTTCTAGTTCATCTTCCTTCACCCACTCGCCACCTCAGAACCAAGTTTCACCAGATTTAGAGTTTTTGTTTGATCCTGAAACAAGTTGCTCCAAAAACCTTTTGTTCTTTTGAGGAACAAGTTTTGAACATTTCCTCTGAACTCGTCAGCAAATTATTGTTTATTTACAGAATCTCGGTCGCTGTGGAGCAACATTATCATTCACTCGTGTTTGTGTCCGTCCGTTAAAGGCGGTAAAACTTTCTTTAAGCTCCGCTTTTGGTCTCCACCAGCGCCTGAAGGAAATATGTGGTTCTGGAACTGTTAAATGCTCCAGTTTGTCCACCGGCTAGCTGCTAACTTGTTTAGTCTGAGCAGGTTGAATCTATTGACCTTTTTTTTTGTTGCTAAAAACAGCTGCATGCTGCGACAGAAACCAACACTATTAGATTGTGAGATCCAAAACAGATAAAAAAATTAGCTAAAGTGAAACTTTGAGTGAGAAATAAGATAAACAGGATGCTCTGGTTTAGAAACTACGTGGACAGAAATGTATCTGCTTTCTTTGCACAAACAGTAGAAGCACCATGACTGTTTGACTTCTGGTTTGAATGAAACCAGCTGATCGGTTCTTCCCTCCGACCTCCAGGTGATCCGAGCGTTCGGCGGCGGTAACGGGGAGAAGCGGCGAGGAGGCCTCCACCTGGCCAGGCCCAAGTCTCCCAACATGCAGGAGCTGAAGAGGAGGTTCAGGCAGGTCCTCTCCTCCAAAGTCAAGTCGGCCACGACCATCTGAAGCCGGCAGGGCTCGGACAGCGGCGGCATCCGGCCGGACTCGAGGAGCAGAAGAAGACTGACGGGAGGAGGTTCTGGAGAGTCCGAGGCGTCGCTGGACTTCTCTGGAGCGATCAAAGCATTTCAAAGAGCACAAAGAATCCCGAGAAAGACAGAAACGGAGCTTTGTGGCAGCTGAACTCCTCTGGACGAGCCTCCTTCCTCCGAGGATCCAGTCCAACCAGGTTCAAAGCAAACGAGCAGCTCGTGTGAAGGACTCGGACACGAGGACGGCTCACGTCCGGTCGAGGTCGGATCAATACGCCAAAACATTACAGACTTTAGCCGCCAAGCTAGCTTCATGTTTTACTTCCTGATCTCCCACCTGTTACACAAATGAATCAAAGTCCAGTCGGTCCACATGAGAACCACTTCAGTTTGTCTAATAACGAATAAACGAAACGTGAGACTGTTGCAGACACGGTGCTGTGAAGCAAAGCAGGAAATGACCCCAAAATAAAAGCGCTGGAGGCTTTACGCTGAGACGAACGCTGACATTCGACAGCAGGAAGGAAATCCAGCGCAGAAAAACAAACTCCTGGTGTGTTTATGGAAGCCTGTGGCTGCCAACAGTAGAATACACTCAGAATCTAATGTTCTTTACAAAATACATGAAAAACACTATTTTAAAAGAAAAGTTTAGCAGAAGATAAGACAGAAGTTTCACAGCACAAATTAAAGCTAAATGTGCAACCTACAAAATAAAAGCTGTAAATTAATTTGCTCCAGAGCTTCACCTGCTATAAAGATGAAAACGATAAAAGCAAAAAGCTCTTTTCATTTTTAAATTTGTAGGTAAGAGCAGCTTAAACTTGAAAATGTAACTTAACATCTGCCCTTAAATCCAAATGTTGTTGATAACGTTGAATTTTCTGATTTTATTGACATAAAAATCATAGATTACATCGTTTAACGCAAACATTAAAACCAGATTTTAACGTTTAGAATCATTTCAATAAAACAACTCAACGACAAGAGTTCACCATGAGGCTTCTCCAGCTCATTATTTACATTAAGACGCTGTTTTTTTTTTTGTATCACAAGTTTTCTAAAAATGTATGTTTAACTGTGCAAGTGATGATCTAATTAAAAAAAGCCCTGCACATTTCAGAAAGTGCAGTAAAACATACACGTGAATGTGGACTTTGGATGTTTTCTCGTAGTTTGTTTAAACTTTAATTATGTTGCGTTTGTTTAAATATTGGCACTCAGTGGCTTCCATACATCCATAAGGCTTTGGGAATCAGATTTGTTTTAAACCCACAAATCATCACCGACGTCTCTCCGATCTACAAACTGCCACGACTGATTTCAGGACACGTTTCGTTTCCAAGCCGGTGAACGTTTCCGCTGCTCCTCAGCCTGAACGAGCCAAAACACCTCAAACGGAGAGTTTCTCATTTTTAAAAGCAGGTTTTACGGTCATGTGCTGAAACTGAGGAGGGATTTGTGGGCCAGTCGCAGCTTCCTGGTACCGAGACGAGACGAGATGCTAAAAGTCCTGAAGTCCAATTAACGGCGTTAACGAATCGATGGAATCAACGCGGGAAAGTACAGCCTGTGCTCTCAGAGGGACTCCAAGTTTGTAGAAGAAGGAAGCGTACGGTTGTTTGTTGTGTGTGTGTGTGTGTGTGTCCTGCTGTTCTCATGACCTCTACTCTCACTGAAACACACACACACACACACACACACACACACACACACAAAATTCCCAGTGAAGACAAATTCCTCAGCATCTGGAATTTCTTTCTCGGTCACTGAACCGCCACTCGAACACACACACACACACACACTCTTAAAAATTGTGTGCTGACCCTGACCCGTGACCTTTTGCCCTCCGACCCTGTAAAGGCAGCGGGGCTCCGTGGGTTCAGGAAAAAGCCGACCAAGACGAAGATCCTGAGATCCTGAGCGATGAACACGAGGGCGATGTGTTTGTGTTTGTGTGTTTTGCCAGTGTTGTGGGGACATTCATCTGTGGAAACTTCCCACAACGTCGAGGCGACTGTTCCCACCAGTTCATTAAATAAAAAGGTTTTTTAAAAAAATCTAATTTACAGATTGAGACGAACCAGTTCAGTGAAACTGATTTTTATGGAAGACTGTGGCTGCCAGTAAAAATAAAACCAATCCAGTTTTCTTTGTCGTGTTTTAAATACATAACTGAAGAGAGACAGTTACTAAACTTGTGTTGCAGCAGCATTTTGAACACACAACTTAGATGAAATGAAAAAGATTTACTGATTTAAATAAACCTTTCAAGCTGCCAGCATTACTCTGATGGATGGTGTTGACAAAATAACGTGGCATCAGCTCAACTTTATGTCTAATTTAAACTCAAAGTTGGTTTAAAACTAAACTGATGTTTAAAACAACAGAAACTGTCCTTGAACTGAGAAGCTTCTGCTTCAGCTGCATTTTACTGGAAGATGCACAAAAAACCCTGAACAAATAATAAATGAAGCACTTTTCAAGGTGGGTGTCGGTTCGTGGCTAATGCTAATGCTAATGCTAATGCTGATCATATTCAGCAGTGAAGTCTGGCCGCTAAGATTGACCCTCTTAAGACCACATGATCACATTTAGGGTTGTGTTACCACAGTAGGTCATTTTTTAAAATTCTTTTTTAGTTTTATTATTATTGTTGTTGTTGTTGTTATTTGATAATTTTTATTTTTTTTAGCATTTTATAGTTATTATTTTTTATTTAATTGAAAACATATTTTTTCGATTTTTTAAAATCTATTTTTATTTTCTTTAGATTTTTATTTTTATTTCTCTTTGCTATTTGATTAATAATAATAAAAAATAATAATAATAATAATAAGAATATGAATGTGAATATTTGTATTGTTATTTGTTCATTATTTGATTTTATTTTAAATATACTTTTGAATATATTTTATTTACTTTATTTTTTATTTTTATTTCTCTTTGCGATTTGATCATTATTATTATTATAATTATTATTTGTATCATTTATTTATTATTTAATTTTATTTTTACATATTTTTATACATTTTTAAAATACATTTTCATTTTCTTTATATTTTTTATTTATAAATATTTAACCATTTATAAATAAAAAATGCACATCAAACTAGAGGTTAAATATAACATCGTCTTAATGCGCTACTGATTGAACAAAACCATGAAACAGTCAAAAACTACTAAATAATAATCTAATTGGAGCAAATCTATTATTCAAATGTTCGTCAGCTTCAAAGCTTGTGTTCGTGATGATGATCATTTAGGACGTAACACACACTAAAAAAATCACTTTAAATGATGATAAAAATAAATAAATAGCTCACATGTTTTTCTTCATCCTGATTCTGGGTGTGTTTTAGTTTCCTCCCCTTTTTTTGTTTTTATTTGTCAGTTTGAAAACTTGTGTTCAAACCAATACAACAGGTTAATGTTCCTGAATAATCAGATTAAATAAGATAAATAAACGTTCAACACACTTTCATTAGAAGTCGTCTGGACTCAGACTGAAGCAGACGCTGAAATGTCTGTTGAGGCCGAACATCATTCTCAGAGTGGAGACGGACTTTGAGGATCCTTCAACAGGAAATGAGCGTAATGTGTGTGTGTGTGTGTGTGTGTGTGTGTGTGTGTGTGTGTGTGTGTGTGTGTCAGACAAAGAGACAGAAAAGCAGATTTTCTCATCATTTTCAGCTGCTTTACGTCTAATTTCCTGCTCTTTTCCTTCCACTTCCTGCCTCCCTCCCAAACATCTGAACCTCGGCCTTCATCACCGACTCTCTGACCTCAACCTGAACCCTCAGACCGAACCTGACCGACCCGAATCCAAAAATATCCCACAACCGGTCCTCACAGAGGCAGCAACGCCCCCGAACCGCGTCCGCCTTAAAGAGCTTCTTCCTGCGAGTTTCCTACGAATCACGACGGGAAACGAAGAATTCCTCCGTTTTCCCTCCAACGCGGACTCTAGATGTGAGCCGGTGATCGATGGAGGGTTAATGTGACATTTATGAGGCTGCATTTAGAAAAGCGAGCCTCCGCCAGCTCTTCCCTTTTTGGGTAAGAAGGCAGAGGGCCGCCGTGAACTCCTCCGTTCTGCTGGAAAGCATGAAAAATCAGCCTCGTTGCTAAATAGGCAGCTTCTCAGCAGCACAGGAGGCGGTTCAGGGTTCCAGGAGGCAGAGAGGCTCTCAGAGAAGATGCCAAACGGAGGATCTGGGCTTGTTGGGTCCAGGAACCAGAGAGACCCCAACAAGCAACGCAGTCACACAGCAAGAGTTCAGGCTGGAGATGGTTAGAAGTGGGCAGAGAGGACGAAAAGACGAAGACACGCAGTTATGAGCTAATGTCATGAAGTTAGACCACATCTGGGCTTAAAGGCACGACATGAGGCGACACCATCCGTCCAATAACCAGATAATTAGTAGTGTTTTAATCTTTTAAATGCTTTTCAGAGGTAAAGAGGCCTCCAGACTAGAACCTTGTGGCCCCGTTACAGCATGAATGCCAGCTGATTATTGATCTGGGAAGTTGTGATGTTTAAGTTTCAGCAGCTTCAGAACAAAACCGAACATTTAAATGATGATGTTTCGTCATTTTCTGCTATTTCACTACAAAATAACGTCCAGATAGTAAAGATAATAAAGATGATAAAGATAATAAAGATAATAAAGATAAGTGATGGTTTCGTGCATTCAGACGGTGGACGATGTGAAGCTAGCAGCTGATTGATCAGTTATTAACTCAGCAGCTGATCGATCGGTTATTAACTCAGCAGCTGATCGATCGGTTATTAACTCAGCAGCTGATCGATGGATCGCTGCAGCTCTGATACGTCTTCACTGAAGCTGGGGCTGGAGCTCGCGTGTCCGTCTGAAGCGTCTTTGGTTTGGACCGGCAGACCGAGCTGCTGGTTCAGAACATGAACAGGAAGCCCAGGAGGGTGTTTAAGGAGGTCCAGGTGAGACGCTTCCTCCACGTTTTCATCGCTCGGTTCCTTCACCTCATTTAAAGCTGTTTTTTTTTTCCTCCCCGTCAGCTGCTGGATCAGAGACGACCCGACTGGAAAACAGAACATCCAGCGCCACTCAGGAACTTTCAAGAACGTTGTGATTTGTTCCGAGCGTCCTGTCAGTCTGTGTTTAGTCTGGACCGGGCTGCTGAGGCTGAAGGAATCTGCCTTCGCCGCTGCTCGGAGCTCAATGAAGATGTAGTGTTGCTTCATCTGCATCGCCGAGAGCCGATGGAGGCAACGTTTCTACATGTGGCTGTGAACCCCTCAGAGGTCCAGCTGGAGGACGGACATCGGTGTTTTCAGGGCACCGAGTCTCGAGCATCAGTGAGCGAACGGACATAAACACAGAACCTTCAGCCCAGATGTGAACCTGCAGCTTTGAGGCTCTGGAGGTTGCTGCAACGAGCTAACTCTCTCAATGCAGCACCTCAGTGGATTATTAGATTTAATATATTTATTCGCAGGTTGCAGCAGAATGTAAACGTATCCATCTGGGAGGTTTGTGGATCATCACGACGCTTTAAGAGCTGGTGAGACTTTTCAAACTTCAGCGTCTCAGACCAGACGGTGATGAACGCTGGCGGCTCATCAGCGGCTCGTCAGCAGCTCAGCCTCCACCCACAGAAACCCGACAACACAAACATCTTCCTCCAGCGACCACGATGGGAAAACACTCGAGCCACGGCGGCGTGGACGACATGAACCAGCTGTGTGTGTGTGTGTGTGTGTGTGTGTGTGTGTGTGTGTGTGTGTGTGTGTGTGTGTGTGTCTCTGTTATCTGCAGGAAGCTGAGGTCGTGTCTGGGATGAAGTCAAGACCCTGGAGCTCTGCTGAGAACCAGATTAGAAACGAGCGACGGTGAAGCAGGAAACGGAGAAACGAGACAGAGAACCGTGGAAGCAGCAGAACCGCCGTCGGACCTGCTGGACGTAAAACAAACGTTTCTGTCGGCGCTCAGCTGACGATAAGGAGCTGAACTCTGTGGATGAAGATCAGGAACATCCACGAGTCTGCAAAGTTTTCAGCTGTTTTCCTGAAGGTGTCCCTCACCTCTGGATTTACAGCCACTCACTCAACAACAACTAAACTACACACAGAGTTAGTCTGTATTATAAATGCATGTGACAACAACGAGCAGAAAGAATCCGTCTCATGCTCGACGTCATCATGTGCAGCACAACTTTAGCAGCGATAGCATTCATGCTAGCTCTGTTCTCTCCTCCTCCGGCTGGGCAGCGACTAAAATGTCTGATGATCGACGTTTAAAATGATGAATCTTGTTTTGTGTCGTTTCCCCAAATCTCTACAACAACTAATGTAAAGTTATCCTGAACCACAGAGGAACAAAATAAACCCAAACCATCCCTCAGCAGGAGCTAAATCTGTCGCTTCACACCCAAGAAAATGTTTTTTATTGTTTATGACTATAATTTACTGGTATTTTACAGATTTTTTTAAAATTAGGGATAATATCAAGTAAAAATCACAGAAAACAAGCATTAATTTACATGTTAACTGTAAAAACAAATATATTTTTTTTAAAAAGAAAAACATTTACATAAAAAATCTGTATTTTAATTTTTATTTTAATGATAAAAATTTAATTCAATCAGCAAAAACCATTATTGTTTTACAGATATTTGCTGATATTTGAACAAAAAATTTATATTAAAGATGTGAAAAATGTGTTTTTTTAATTTTACTGATTGAAAATTACAGAAATTTATATTAATTTACTTGCTGAATATAAAGAACCCACAATAATGTACACATCAGACATTATTTAATATGTTTATGAACACTAGCTAGTTCTTTAGCAAACTAGTTTTATTGCACATAACATCCCAAAATCTCTTTATTTTACAGATGTTTGCACCGTTTCTACAGTTTATTTTAAATGTATTTAACACTTTATTACTGATTATTTTTTTTACAGTCGACTATAAAAGACGACATCCTGAGCAGCTGGAAACTTCCTCCCACATCATCTTAGAACCGATTTAACTGTGATTCTGTTCCTGTGGCTGAAGAGCTCCAGAGCGAGTCCATGAACCATAGCCGAGGTCTGCTGCCTCTATTTCTGGCTCCAGAGCTCCCAGTGGACCGACCATTTATCCTCCCATTTCCCGTCT